CTTACACGTTATATTTAATCATGATTAAATTATCCTTTGTTTCTAGCCTGCTGTGTAATGTAGCCCCTTTTATCTGAAAGCCACTGTCTCAAATTTACTACTCAAAGTGATGAATCTTAAAGAATTGATAGCTGAGAAATGTGCCTGTAAAACTTGTATCGAGATACAATTCAATAGTAAAACAGAAGCCACCTTTATACAAGCATTCTACGTCTGTGTGTAGTGTTTTCCAAGTGGTAATGTTTAAGTTCTTCATCTCACTAGTTTGAAGCAGGTTTTGAGGTTTTAACATTAGGTTTTGTGGCAATTGGATCAGAACTGTGAGTCATATTTATTAACACCAGATATTTCTTTTTAAGATATTAAAAAAACATGATAAGTAGCAGCACAAAAAAAAGAAAGGACTAGCAGAATGATGAGATAAAATCAACGAATTAATAACCTAAAAATAGCCCATGTACGAAGGCTTTCATAGTACTTGAAATGATACCACTGTATTGTATCTAAATATATGTCCAAATTAGAGACTTGGATGTCAGTCCTAAAAATACAAGGCATTCAATATCTTAAATATTTTGAATTTGCAATAATTAAGAGTGTATACTAATTTGTCAATTCAATTTTTTTTCTTTAATTTTGTTTTTTTCCTGTTTGTTTTTCTGTAATTGAGATTTTGATTTGCAGTTTTTGTCATTGAACTGCTATTCTTGACCATATAAACCAATGAAAGATCCAAGTTTAAAAAGCAGTAAATGTACACAAACATTAATCGAAAATGACTTGATTATTGTTTGAAAGAGCCATAGATTAATGATTCTGTAGGATACACATTGATATGAAAGACTAAGCATTCTTCAGGAAGCCTCTGATCCAATATTAATAAATGATAAGGCATAACTGCAGCTTTTATTTTGCTTCACAGTATGTCAAGAATGCTGAAACAGGTAATGAACTTAATTTGTCTCAGAACACCATTGAAGAATTCTGTATTCTCTTACTTTATCTGTTTGCATTGAGGTACCACACAGTAGCTTCTTGTTAGAATAGTTTATTCATATTACCGATGAAAACTACAATCCTGATTCTTGCATGCTTTTTATCCAGTGCTTTTAGGTAGTTGTTTCTATCTGTACAGAAAAATCTGTAAAGCCTGTAATGCTACGTTAGGATTTTCATCAGTAAATAGCCACTCCTAAAAATGTAATAGGCAGCAGAATGACAAGGTTAGTTGAGTTTTATCTCATAACTTTGATCCAATGCACTGGAAGGAGATAGTGCAGGCTTGAAAACAACCTGTCTGCATAATGGGAATAGTAAATGATCAGTGAGTGCTTGTAATAATTCTTTAAGATCTTGTATCTATACATTTTGATTTCTCTTAAATTAAGAAGTGACAGCATATATCGTGAAATTATGGTTCTTTGGTTTAATCCTATTTTTTTAATGAAAAAGAGGGCTGACATTCTCCAATATCCGTAGGAATTTTACTTTGCTCAACTGTCATCCAAATGCCAAGTATTTTTAGGTCAGTTCATTACCTATCATCAATACATGACATAATTAACTAAACATATTAGGTAATAACACATGTAATTATGAAACGTTGGCTTTTTTGATATGGATTCTAAGTGGGTGAGCTCTGCTTAGGTTAGTGCAAGTCTTAAAGTACTATTAAAGTACTATTTATCTTCTCTAAATAATTAGTGTATGGAATTTAAAATGAGATGTGAACAGATTTTCTGGAGTAGGTGTAAGTCAAAAATACTACATAGATACAGGTTTTTTTTAAAAAGGTAGTATGTTGAGACTGGTTTTGAGGTTGCTTTTAGTATTAAAAATTTAAAATCCAGTGAAGGTTTGTTTTATCTATTCAGTTGTCTGTCAAAACAGATCACTGTGTTTAATTTCTTCTGAACTTGTTAATAATTAAAATTGGAAAATGCATAATAAATTATTTGTTTTCAAAATAGATCATGGCACAGACATTCTCACTAAAACAGGTATGAGGAAAAAAGGTGGAAGAGGATTTTTGTTAATTGTAGATGTTGAAGGTGAAGTGGACCATGATCATAATCTGGACCTGACCACTCATTTCTTAATTAAATCTGTAATTTTTAAAATTGTTTTGAATACAGGTAGCCATATCCTTTAGACAGATATAAAATCTTGAAGTTATCCAGTACTGATGTGCTATTGAAAAATATGTACCATGTTTGAAGTCTAATTACTTCCTATAAACATCTATCTAGCTGTTTTCTGCTAGAGAAAGAGCTGTCTTCTGTATGTGTCAGTTAATAGTGATCAAACAATCTTTTAATATTTTCTGAGTGACCAGTTAGGTTGAGTCTGTTTTGTTTCTCACTGCCAAGTTTATTTTTCAATAGTTTTTGCTGTTTCCTGATCTGGTTACAGTCTTTCAAATATTCATAAGTGTATGACACGAGCACCAGATGTATAATTCTATTAATGATCTTATGCTACTGCACAGACTTACAGCAAACTTTTTGATTTTTATTTCTCTGCCTGTATTTGTCCTTGCAAATTCAACATTGTGCACATGTTCACTTCCATTGTGATCTGTAAAGCCCTTTTTGATATCGATTTCAGATGCACTCCCCTGTCTTCTAAGTTTGCCCTTTTGTTTTCAAATGATGGCACATGATTTCAGTCATAAGCTTAAGTGGCTTATAACATTTATTCAGCTAATCCCAAATATGTTCACTTTTCCAAGCAGTCTTTGTCAGACTTTTATTTTCAAGTCAGGGGAATACAGAACAAGTTTGGGATGAAAAAAGGTATCTGCATGTCCCTTTCCTTCTCCAGCAACATTCATTCTATGTAGAGCTAAATTTGCTGACACTATGTCTTGTGGCACATAATCAAATGCCTTACAGAAATCTCAGCATATTATTTCAAAGCACTTGTGTTAGCAAAGAGTCTCTATGTAATTGAAAAAAACAGAAAGTTATTTTGACAGGACCAGTACTTAATAAAGCAATGTTGATTGACATTAACTGAGCTCCATCTTTTAATTTATTGCTTACTGTATATCAGGATCAGTGTCAAACTATATAGTCTGTAATTTCCCATAATACTCTTTAAAAATATTTGACAATATTTGATTTTTCAACTCTTCTAGAATTCTGCCAAAAAGAGATCATGCAAATAATTGAAGTAAAAATGAACATCTGCCCGTTTGAGGAATTGCAAGACACAAAACAGCAAAACAGCTGTATTTAGTTAGGAGGAGTCATTTGGAAACTTACTGAGTTGCCCATTTTGTTGATTTTTGCTGTTTTTAAAGATATCACCAAAGATTAACCTAATGCGTTCTGTTAGTGAAATAGGATCAAACTACTTGGAGGAAAAGATATCCTTCAGTCTTTCTTCAACCTTTACTCTGGCAAAACTCTTGTCAACTTCAAAGTCAGTTCAATTAGCGTTAGTAGGGCCTGAATAAAAGTAGATCCTGTAGAATTTAGAGGGAAGGACTCTTATTTTCAGTGAGGCAAACGTAGCTCACTGGAAGTTTTACAGAATCTGTCCCTTTGTTTCAAAAATAAATAAGAATATTCAGGCCTTGCTTTGTCTCTGCTTTGTGGTGTAGATGTGCAGACCTTATAACTAAGGCGTGTTCCAAGTTAACTGTAAAAAATTTACCCACATTTCTTCTGTGTTAAATGATAGCTAAGTTTATAGTGGACTGTCAGATTTCTTTACTTAATTCAGCAACATGCAAGACATCTATCTTAACATCTGGTTTTTAATAACAGTTGACATCTGGGAGCTCTTTTTTATTCCAAGAATGGACTAGGAACAGTAGTGATACTGGCAGTGTATATTTTCAGGCTAAAATTCCTGTCTGTTTCAATCATAATTAATTACCATTCATTTTATTTAGTTTTTAGATTTAATTAAGTGTCAGCAATATGTTACACCAGCTAACTTTCAAAGTCTTGAAACTATAGAATCTATTTTTTTAAAATGTTTCTAAAATATTAATGGGTGAATTTTAAGGATATCTAAAATGATAAGATTACATTTGATTTTGAAATGCTGAGTTAAATGAAAAATGTTTTATTGTGCACCTCTGTTCTAGAAGCTGAGTATCACATCAGAATTTGACATAGTAGAACTATATACAGGTATAGATATGCACATGCACATCGGTCTGCACATAGATAAAGAATCATTATAAAAAATATAATCTTCAGTAAAAGTATCCAGGGAGGAACCATTTCACTCTCTTGGTTTAGTTCATATTTTTATTTTGTTCTTTCTAACTCCAGGTTTATAACAAATGTAAACAAAGACCTTCTTCTTTCAGCATACCTACAGTAAAATAATCCCTTTAAAAAAAAAAAAGTTCTGAAAGTATTATGATTTTTATGTATTTGCCATTGATGTTATCTATCATTAAAATGCTAAATAAAAGAGTAATCATGGAACAAAAATGGAAAAAAAGGAGAAAAAATGTCTAATAGTATTGAACAATATGCAGTGTTTAAGTATTGCTTAAAAGATAGATTTAACTGATAACATTAGAAAACTGTACTTTGCTAATGACAGATTTTTTTGATTCTTCAGCAGTTTTGTATCTTTTAACCTAACAGCATGTAAGACAATTTGATTATAGTAATTACTTTGCTTACTTATAAGTTTTGATTTATTTCTGCTGTCAATGTTGGTTTGAATTGTGTGCAATTGAAAAATAGATAATCTTTTAATATTTAATCATATTATCTACTTCCTACACACTGTTTTAACTCAGTGGGAAAAATGTTTAGGTCACTGTTCTTATTTTTTTTTGGTTGCTATAGATGCAGACTCTTGTATATGTAACACAAACTCGTTCAGATTTTTTGCTGGCTTACACTTTAAAAAAAAAAAAATCATGTTTTTAACAGCCAAAAAATGATATTTTATTTGCACAAAAGTAACTAACCTTTTCTTCATTCATTCTAATGCTAACTTCTCTGTGCATCTTGTCTGGCACACAGGATGACGAGGAGGGTATATGGGCATAGCCGTTCCTATAAACCAAAGTTCCAGTTTTGTTTTGAGGGGTGAGAAACTCTCTTTTCTATCTCTTTCAAGTTGCAGTCTAATTTTTATTGTTTTATTTTAAACTGTTCTGTGTTTCTTGACAAGTGTGTTTGTGAAATGTGTAAAAAATGTTTTTTCATATGCAATGAATGGTGAGAAACTATGTCTAATGGCTTAATGGTCTAATGGTTTAATTTTTTTCATAGCCTATTGTGGCTAAAGGTGTAGGTAGGTACAAAACTTTAAAAGGAGTGTGTCTGTACCTGTTTGTCTAAACAATTTCCTGTTTTCAGTAGAGAAGAATTTCTTTAAACTAGTATTAATCTGCTATATGATTTTTTTTTTTGTCCTGTAAGAAAACTGTGATATCTTTGCAGAATGAGTATGAAAGTTTGATACTTAAGAAAGTTTGCCACAGATTAACCATAAAATTTACTGGAAAAGAATTTGTAATATGCATGGAAAAAATACTATTAAGATAAAATGTTTTAGAGATATTTTAAAATATGCAGTAGATGCTTAATAAGGAAAGTATACTCTGTCTATGCAGTAAATGCTCTTTGGCTGAGGTAATCTGATGGACTAATATTCGTACAATAATTTGGTTGTGATATTTAAGAGTATGAAGTGCATCTTATTTTGTTCAAGTGTCTTTCAATTATGAGTAAATACTATATTGTGACTGCGTGTTAGTTATTGATCAATGCTTATCCACCTTTTTGGTGCTTGCCTTTGAAGCTGTAGGTAGTTTGTAGCTCATGATCACTGTGGTCTCAACATTGCTAAGACCATCAGACCTGAAGGTTTGCTCATTGAAAATGTTGCTCACATCACTACTTCTTACTGGAAAAATTCTGTTTACTGCAGTGGGACTGTTCAGAGGAGCAAAATCTACTCACATAAGTAAAGATTAATGTGTCATTAAAGCTGCCGTACTTTATATTGCTTTGGCCCCTGTCACCCGAAGTCAAAGACTGCATGATTTGTTTTGTTTTCAGTAGTGATATTAGCCACATTAAAAGTCAGTCATTCTATTTGACAGGCATAAAATCTCCAAAATAACTTTTGTTCTTATATACTTACTTTTTAGAATAGTTGTATAATGCAAAATTAGTATTATCCATAATGAATAATTTGTATTTTGTTTTTTAAAAAAAATTAAACTGTTGAAGTTTTCTATCAGAGAGAAGTTTAAGATTCAACATTATTAAAATAAAATAATGGGCACTGTGGTACCATTAGCATTTAAATGAAAGCAGCCTTGTTTTATCAGAGTATTGTTATAAACCATTTTTGGTTTTATGCTTTCTGAATCAATTTTAATTGTCACACTCGTACAGGTTGTATGTGTAGATAACCTCTGTGTTTATGGACACAGACGTTGCATGTGGTAACAATAGGAAAGTATGTAGCTTGTATTCTAAATATTTTTAGTTGCACTTCCTTATTTCCTGAAAAGACTCTGGAATTGTTCTTTTTCATATAAAAATGTAAAAAAGGTTTGTGGCTTTTCTTAGTGTTGTGTTTTAGGTAATTAGCAAGTTTTGTTAAGTGCAGCTGCATGATATTTTAATAGCAGTTTATGATGTTATTTAAAAGCAATGTAATTTTCAGCTGTTTGTCAGCATCATTTTCTGTCTTGGGCGTGGAGAGCAGATCTTTGTTTATTTTCCAGGCCCATATATATTTCCAATTTAAAAACAGACATTCCTTTCTGACTCTTTTGTTCAAATGCCAACGTAATTTATCTGGTATCGTTGTATACCAGACCCTTGACAGATAACTTGTTATTTCTTTTCCAGTGGGGAGCACTGCAAAGGCATTATAACAAATAGCTGGTAGCAGGCATAGCCTGCACTCCAGATTGAATTCACAAGTAGACCTGTCCTTGTATGTAGAATAGCGATGAGTCTAGTGGAAAGTCTAGCTTTACCATAAGGTGAAAATTCATGTCATAGACCTCCTTCCCTAATTTAAGTCCCAGACCTATAAACCTTTCTGAAAATACGTATGGTAATACTAAATTTACTCATATTCGCTGTTAAGAGCTGTAAGTATATATTACAATAGAGACACTTAGAAAAAAAAAATGGATAAACTTTTCTGTTTTGCACAGACTTGAGAGCTAACAACTTAAGGAATAGTGCTTGTGACTTAGTTTTGGAACGTTTTAATAATTTCTATTGCTATTCAAGACACATAAGATTTGTCTTGGAGACATATGGCTCAAGGCTAAATGAATTTCATAATGGGTTAGTAATCAGGGTGAAAGGAACTGTCTTGAATGTTGTATTACTATTTAAAAGTGGCATTGTTAACATCAGAAGAATATCCAAGTAAGCAATTACAATAAATCCATTTCTGTGCAGAGTTTTAAAGCTCTATGCATTAACTCCTCACTACAGAGCACTCTGTCCTATATTTCTGACAGTGCATGGAACATGAGTCTGGGTGCTCTTCTCTCCAAGGCAAGGTGATAGAACTCCCTGAACCACGAGGAATGATGGGTGCAGAGTTCATTCTGATTATCTTCATCACACTGTGGCTGCAGGGTTAGGCAGGACGGGTTGAGTCTTTTTGCACAATAGTAGTAGAGTGGATGAGTGGTCAAACTAGTGAACTTTCAGCAGCCTATTGGAATAGATTTGGAGACAAGGTAAATGGAATGGGAAGGAGATGGAGGTTTCATCTCCATGTAGGAAGGTGCTGATTTCACTCTTAATAATGTAAGGACTCTTAAAACAGCCCTTAATTCATGGGATTAGACTTGTTTCTACCATTCTTCCTCTCACACGTTCTCCTGATTTTCATAACAGGTAGTATGGCTGAGGGAAATCAAATCTTCCAGTCAGTTCAGTGTATAGTAAAATGCAGACAATACAGTTAATTGGATGTATTTCTTGTTTAGAAAGCTTTCCTGTATTTCAGTGAATGTGAGGGATATATTTTATGTTGGAGTGGAAAGTATAATTTTAGCAAGAATTTAATTTTAAAAGTATTTGAAGCTCAAGAATGGGGATTTCTAGAAAAATGACCTTCACCTTTTTTATAGTTAATATATTTGCCATAATTTTTAGTTATACAGTTTAAATTATATAAACTATGGATGCAGCAATTCCACTGCAACACACACATTTGTTTATGAACCAAAGCATATTAATGTTCTTCTAGAGTCTCAAAAATATGTTTGTTTTGTTTTAAAAAAACTTGTATAGAAATTGTACAGTCATTTTGAAAACTGACTATCAAGAGACTAAGGGAATCTTAATTTAATTTTTGTTACAGTAGTGTCAAATAAAGAATATGTTTTTGAATTGGAATAAATTTCTCTTGAAGAGGATTCTTTTTTTCTATAAGATAAAAAGCACCTGAGACAGATACCAAAGTATTTAGTTTCAAGTCTAATTTTATTCTGATTGTATAGGCTCACTAACATTGTTTTAGGTACAGTGTAGATAGCCTTGTGCAATCAAAAGTTTTCCCAAGACCATGAGGTAGTATTCTGCCTATGTGAGGTAAGCACAGGCTGGTCTTCAAATTACAGTTAAAAAGTAGTAAGTTAAAAATCAGTGAAGTCCTTTTAAACTTTACCACTTCAGTGCTCAAATACTACAGAATAGTGAACATGAAATGATGGTGGAAATATAGCGTGGCAGGACGAGGATGTGTTGTAAAGTTATAGAAAGCTTGTAACTCATTAAAGAACAGATGAGGTGCTCAGGGGTATCTCACTGGCCAACAAATTTGGTAGCACGTGTAGCTGTACCAGTTGGGGCTTGTTAGAAACAGGATCCCTTCCCCTCTCCTCACCCAAAGAAAAAAAAGGAAATCAGGAGGTTATGATAAGTTTTAAGAATTAAGCCTATATAGCAAGTTCTCATGGGTAACTGAAACCATGTGACTCTCAGAAAATATGATTCACGGCACAGCTGAGGTGTGGGCAGGGAAAGCAAGTGCTTGTTTTTTCCTTTCCAGTTCCTACCAGTGAAGTGCTGCAGACACTGGAAAAATAGTTAGGACTTTGCCACAAGTTGTCCATGTATGTCTGTAATAGAAATCAACACAAAGCCTGTTTGTACAGTATTTTATTTGTACAGTACTCTAGACTTTATTCTTTGTCAGATGTGAAGTAAATCAGATGTTTTAAAAGATGTTTAGGAGTGTTTGGACAAGTTTATTGTCTGTTATATCCTTAGAACAGGGTTACCTTCATACTTGAAACAAAGACAGACTGAAGCTTGTGACTGCCAGCAAATGAAGTATAGTGTTTTTGAAAATAAATCATAAAGCTAGTCTGCTAAATTTGCATTTAGGAGCTGAACATAAAGTCTATAATTTTAAAATTTTGCCTTAGTAGTGACTGTGGAGGCATTCTTTGTGAGGCATCAGTGTCATTCAGTAAAAAAACCGTTCAAAGCAGAAACTGTCTACAGAAAGGGTAAAGTTTCTTAATTATTCCTCAGGCAAGTATCCACTGTTCACGTCTAACTCTTGGATGTGTTTTGTATGTGTGCTGTGCCTAGCTTTGTCTTTGTTGAGATGTGGTGAACAGTTTTCTTTCAAGATGTCCTTACTAATAGCAGTATAAAGCATAACAAAATTTGGTCATGTTACTATATAAGGATATGTTTAAAGACGTTAACTATTAGCTATTGTTCTGCTTTTTGTTTTCATTATTTCAAGTCAAGGTTTTTGTAAAGAATTTATTTTTCTTTATGTTTGGATATTCTGTTTAGCCTGTTTTGGAAAAAACATATTAACTTTGAAATGTCTTAGTAGAGTAAAAAGCAATGGAAAAATAAGGAGCATGACTGTTTGCAGTGTTCATTTTAATTCTCTCATAGAGTGTATGAATACTAGCTCTATGCATAATTAGCTAAATGGGTGTTGCTACATTGACTGGAGCCCAAGGGCATTTTGGATTTGTGAATTTTTAGACATGATTGTTGTCTTACTGCAACTTGGCTTTTACTAAACAAAAGGAGGAACCTCCCTAGGAATGTTTGTTTGGCAAACTATG